ATATGCTTTCTAGAATTTTCTTTAGCTCCACTTTATGTTAACATATATGTTTTATGCTACATTTCATCCAAAGTTACTTTCATTTTTATTAGATATTAACAAACGAGAGATTGTTGTGAATGGTGGTGTAAAACCCTTGTTAGTCTTAGCCAAATCACAAGATATCCGTGTCCGGCGAAATGCTGCCGGGGCACTCCTCAATCTGACGCATATAGGTATGTATTCAAGAATTATACTTCATCTTTACCACACAGAAGCCTGGGTCAAAATAGGGTTGTTCTATCTTAGGGTTATACATAGATACAAATAAAAATGAAATTTAAACATTATATAATAATACATGTGCTATAAAAAAAAATGAGACATGAAAAATTAATGTGGATGGAAATTAAATATTGTTAAAGCTGTAACTTGTGCTTAAAGGAATTATATAGTTTAAACAGTCTGTAAAAACACTGTAGTTGTACAATTCTAATTCTTCTTTGAGAGATACTGTGAATGTTTTCCATTTAAGTTGTTAGCCTACAAATAATTCCTCTTCCTCTATTTTGAATTAATTGTTTTGTTCTAGTTTACCCACAGTTAGCCTAATTTAATTGTTTTATTGCAACTGAAATAAACGTAGGCTGTTGTCTGCCTGCACTTCGATATGCGCTCAAAATATTCCCAAAAGATGGTACAAAATGGAAACTGGTTGAGGAAACCGCATAAATAATTTTTAGAATATACTTTTAAGTGCTAAACGAAAAGAATCACATTAAAGTTAAGAAGTACATTCATTTTAATTTGGTTGCTGATCTGTCCTCATGTCAAAGTAACGCCAGTCTAATTTGCTGCTATACAATATAAAGTACTGAAGCAGAATTGAGTCAAAAGTGATATAATTTTATTTATTTGGAATAGTGTTATCTATTTGTCAGTATGCAGTTTGATCAGTGTCTATTTTAAGCAAATTTAAACAGTAAGTTGCTTAGACTGTCAAATTAATGATAATTTATCTGTTGGTGAGATGACAGCTTTTGCAAAACTTGGTCTATAATGTGTATAAATGTTGATGTAGAGTAAAGCTTAAAATCCCTCTCTTGGCTTAGTAGTTACACAGTAGGTTGTCAGCTATTTTCAATTTCATATGGTAATTGGTGACTATGTCATGATTTTGTGATTTACTCTTTTATTCATTTTAACAGAATTGAAAAAAAAATATTGTTAATTTGATGTCCTTGTGCTTTGCCAAAGATATTTTTTTTAATTAATTTTTTTTTTAATTGCCCTGGTGGATGGTTATTAATATTATATTAACATAATAAATAATATGGTTATCATCATACAACCAACACTGATTAAAAGACAATAGAAAAATCTTGTAAAATGGCACATAGTACAATTAAACATAGGAATGTTAACTAATTTATAATATTGTTTACTTGGTTTATTATTTATTTTAATTATCTATTTATTTATTCACAATATTTATCTAGAGTGGCCCAATCCCTTGAGGCCCTCAGAACAAAGTTAAAATTTAAAATAAAATACAAAGTCAAAAACATTTAAGTAAAAACAAATGCAGTGAAAATACACAATTACAAAAATCAAAGATCTATAACATTGATTGACTTAAAGTTACTTTTAAATTGAAGATTTTATTGTATCACTTAATCCTTTAAAAAAAAAATAGCACATTGCCATTTAAAAGAATTTTTATAATAGTCTCTTACATTTTTCAAGCAAAAGTGAGTTGGTAAGTAAATATCCCGACACTAGGATTTAAAACCTGGTATTGACTGGCAATTACCATCCACTCAATGTATTCCAATAAATTACCTTCATGTTTATTATATTTTACAGATGCTAACCGGCAAGCTCTAGTGTCAGCTGGAGCGATTCCAGTTTTTGTGGCGCTACTAAGCTCAGATGACACTGATGTGCAATATTACTGCTCTGCTGCCCTCAGTAATCTAGCAGTGGATGAAAGCCATCGTAAACATGTTAGCAAGGAAGGAAACCACAAAGTTTTACGTTCATTAATACGTCTGCTGGATTCACCAGTTGATAAGGTTTGTTAACAATCATTTCTAATTTTTATTGGTAGTAAGTGCTCTTGTAATTTAGTAGAGACTACACTCCTTTACGATTGGTTGTGATAGTCGGTGGTAATCCAGAACTGATTACTCCCGATCGCAACCAACCAGCATTCAGACCAAATCAGACACAAAAACTTTTGAACGGGAGGTCAAATGGTACTAGGTCTCTGGTGGATGGACCTTGTTGACTGATATCAGCCAGTCAGTTCCTGTGGAATTAGTTGGGATTGGAATCCGTGGTAATTGGGAGTAATAAAGATGGTAAAGTAAATTGATTACTTTTCGACTACTGTTGGTGAGCTTTTACACCCAGTTGTTAATTGCGGGTGTCGCAATTGCTATAAGAGATCATAATTCAATGCTAGTCTGAGTTTGGTACTAGTTCAACAAGAGCAATGTTCAGACACAATGTGTTACGCTAGCATAACGTTATATGCGGTGTGGCAAAAGCCAGCAGTTACGCGCAATCACAGACATACGATAAGTCATCAATGATTTTGAACTTGACCAGAAATTGACCAATCATAGTAAGTCTAGCTGTAAACAGGAAAAAAATGTGCGATTATGAATAAAAATATTTCACATGAATACTAGCTGGCTAGTGTTCGTTAATCGCCCAGTCTGGACATCTTGCAAGTTATGCCACAGATTAACATATGCCTGGCGTTAGATATGCCTCGCGTATCTCTAAGATCTGAACGTAGCCAAGCATTCTGAGATAGATTGTACAAGATGAGGAGCAGTATTATTAAACTTCGTCACCCAATGAATGAATGTGTGAACATTGACAATCATGCCAACTTTTTGACCTCTTCTGTTTCCAAAACTATAATCTAAAAAAAAAATAATCTTGTTTTAAAGGTGAAATGTCAAGCCTGCTTTGCTCTGCGGAATTTAGCCTCCGATGGTAAGTAATGACATATTTAATATTCTCAGAACCAAATACCTGTAGCACCAATATTGAGATTTGTAGCATATGCCCACATGGTGTACCAAAAGCATAATAATTACAACTAGGCATATACTTTTTAATTTCTTATAGTAACTTAAGGTCATTAAATTTCAATAAGATTTTGAAAAATTTAATCAGCAGTTTTTTCTCCACAAATACCTTAGCCACAAAATTATGAGCTATGAGTTCCTGGAAAATCCATAAGTTGGGCCATTTGGAAGCTTGTCAAAATTTTCCAAATAAATGCAATACTCCTGTGGGTTTTTGCCAGCCTACAACCCTCATTTTTGTTGGTAGCAAAGTTATATTGCAAAGTGCTGAGTGAAATTATTTATATACCCTCTCCTGTTTCTTTGCCCTTTCTAATTTCTTTAAAATGAATCTATATTTTTTTAGTACAATTTATACAACAAGAAACATATCCATGCACTAAATTCAATAGTATCCAACACCATTCAATAACTAGTACTACCTCCAATCAAAGTCAAGCATCCAATTCAAATGTAGAGTTATACCCTTTTCTTTGCCGATTCCCATTCCTTTGAATTGAATCTATATTTATTTTTTATTTAGTACAGTTTATTCAACAAGAAACATACACGTTTCAACACATACACAAATTTAACCGTATCACCGTATATGATTGGATGAGTACCCACTCATCCAATCACAGCCAAGCATCCAATTCAAATCTGAAGTTAACCTTTATACAAACAAGAAAAATGGTTGAAAAATCACGGCTGCATTGAAATTGTCAAAGCAAAATGTTGTGCTGCTTTCCCTACTCTTAGTAAATCATTTATTTGGGTTTTTTCACAGAATCTAACCAGGTAGCTATTGTAGAATTAGGATCACTTCCTCCTTTACTCAGGATTATCAAGACCAGTCAAAAGGACACTCTGTCAGCAGCAGTGGCGGCTGTACGCAACCTCTCTATTCACAGGCAAAATGAGGTAAAATATTTTAACAAAGCCTAGCTAGATTCAGGGGAAATTAACTATTCATGAAATGATATATGACAAAATAGAAAAAAAAAATGGACAAATAGAAAAAAATGAAAGAATTGAATATTACAAATGAAAGAATTGAATATTACAAATGAATGAATAATATTTCAGTAATTAAATGTAGACCGCTTGCATTTAGCTTATCTCCTATTTTTGATTGCTAACTACAGGCTGTGGTTGAGGCCTGATTCCATTAATTCGCATAGATAATTAAACCAACCACAAATGCAACAGTCACACTCAAACCACTCCAAACACACACTACTTCAACAACATACAAATATAGAACATAAACAGTTGGGATACATTATATTTTTGTAAACAGTATATAGGTAATTTTGTAAATGTTACAAGTAATTTCATCTGGCTTTCCAACACAGCTATCCCACTATTCCAAGTTTATGTAAATAAATGTCAATTGGTATACCTAGATTAACTACTTACCATTATTATACTTACCATATATACATAATGCCAAGAAAATATCAAGTAGGCATGTGACATAAATTTTGATCATGAAGCATGAGAATCATGAATAATTCATGAGACTTGACAGGTAAACCATCTTTCCTTGTATGTATGTCTACAATGATTTAATCCATTCATCTTCACTATGCAATCATCTACTTTCTTATCAATTTCATTCTAACAGACCCCAATTGTACAAGAGGGTTTCCTGAAAGAGCTTTGCAGACTACTGTATGAACCAATGATATGGGAAGTACACTGTCACGCTGCTGGTACGCTACGTAACTTAGCTGCAGGAGACCACATTAAGGTAATGAACATTTTACAAACAGTACCTGTAATATATATATAGTAAATTTTATTTTAGAAATTGCTGGTTTTTCTTTGTCTGTTGTAACATGATCATTTGTAACTTATTGGCAGACAATTCTGAGTTCTGGTGGTTTGGAGAGTTTAGTTAATACTTTTATGCAGAGTACATCACCAGCATCAGTTCAGACAGAAGTAACAGCAGCACTGGCAGTTATATCAAGCGATGGTGAGTATTGTTGATTTATTCTAAGATTGAATTGTTTACTTTCTATATAAATTATAATCATTCAGTGGACTGACTTGGTATTAAAACCGCTTCAGTATGAAATCAACACAAACCGGTAGGCAGTATTTCTCCACAGTATCATTGCATTGTTCAAAGCAATGTGGCAGTTTAATTTGCCTTAATGCATTTGTAAATTTACTCTTCTGACTTTTGTCAATGGATCTTAAATCAGAGGTGGAGCCAGAGAGGGGGACCGGAGTACTGCTAAATTGACGCTGATCCCCTTAGCCTTAAGACAATAGTTTGTCATACTTCATACTGTAGTGCTAGACTACCAGGGCGATAGGTTTAGCCTGGCTTGTCAAGATTTTGTTCTGATGAATCTATGAATAATTCATAGTATAAAATGTGTCTTCCATTCATTTTGCCTGTTAGAGTACAGTGCATAACCTACTGAGAGTGCAACTACTTATTTGTTTGTGAAATGAGAATTTTATTCACTATGTTTTACCTGTTGTTTAATTGTATGATTACAGATGACGCTAAGCAGAAACTGTTGAATAGCCACTCAGGTCGGTTCTTTGGTCGACTCATCAACTTAGCTGTCAGCTCTCCACACTCTGAGGTGCAATACAACAGCGCAGGTATCATCGGCCAAGTAGCATTATTAGGTAAGTATAGCATAAAATACCAAATGCAATATTGGAGAAAAATAAGTATGCTTTATTTCATTTTAGGAAACCAGTATTACCACAACAAAAATGGCAAAATCAAAGTTTTTTTAAAAAGAAAATACTATGACACATAGACCAGTTTGCTGCCTAGCCCTGTTTGCCACCTGGCCTGTTTTTCAACATGGCCTAGGTTTGCACCTGGCTTGGTTTCCACCTGACCAGTGGTGTTACAGAGTTTGTGGGCCCTGGCGGTGACTGTTATTGGGGCCCTAATAAAAGGGGGGCGTTAAGTTTGCAGGCGGAGCAAGCAAGACGATGGAGCTAGGGGGCCGCGTAGGGCCCCCGGTCGGGTTAAGGGGGTGAAGGCCCCCTCGCGCTCAGAGCTTATGGCATTTATGAACTGTTAACTGCATTGTCAGAGAACATAGAATGGTCCATGACTAATAAAATGTTGCAGACAATTTTATGGCAAACCAACATAGGTTACATAGACCAACTTTTGGAACAGGTATAGGCCTACAGTAGGCCTGTACTCTATGTAGGTGTAAAATAAATTCAGAGAATATTTTAGTGAAAAACAAAACATGTTTTAATAACATATACACAATGCAAAGTAGAATTATCACAGAATCAGAAACAATGTCAAACATCAGAACCCAGCTTTTACTGTTTGAAACTATTGGGGCCCATTAAATGACACTATGATTATTTTTTACATCTAATATGTCATGCCCCTCGTGCCTGGGGGGCCCCCCCCCCATCGCTGCCCGAGCGTGACACTACTGCTCCTGACCCTGTTTGCCACCTTGTCTGGTTTGACATCTGGTCCGTTTGCATCCTGTCATAATAGATTATATGAAACTTTATGATATTTATTATTTCAAAATTGTTTCTTTTAGACCACAATATAATGAAATAGAATGCAATCACAATAACTCAAGTGTTGTTTTTTTAACAGCAGGGTAGCATGGCTAGTCCCTTCTCACGTTCAAGTGGCGCCACAATGTATTGTAGGCATCAGTGAAAGTGGTATTGTAAAACTAATAGAAACCCAAGGTCACTTTTCCTTTGTTTGGTTTTAGAGAGGGTTACATACAATTAGAGAGTGTGTTACTAATAGAGTGCCTCAAAACAATATACAGTACTCATGCACAGTTTTCCATAGGTATAATAAAAGAAACAAAATTAAAAACCATCTGTAAGGCAAAATCTAGATTAGACTGTAATCTGTATTCTATAATTGTGTGTGAATTTTTGGCAACCCCAGCGGGTTACTATTAGACAGTGGTGTATTTAGCAGTCTTGAAATTTTTGGGGGGGGGAGGGGTGCGGGGAGACGGCATGAAGGTGAAGTGGGAGCTAGATGTGTAAGTGAAGGGGTGCCAGCTCACAAAATAAGGTGATATGATGTGATATTTATCTGCTTATGTGTGATTTTTTGCATCAAACATTTTTAATGGGGGGGAGGCCCGGGTGTTTTTTAGGGGGAATGCATTCTCTGTGCACCCTCTAGATACGCCACTGATATTCAATTCAATTCAAATAAACATTTATTTTATCACACAATATGATAACAAATGAAAAACATAAACAACCGGATTTCATTAAAAAAAAAAGTATACGCCAAATGACAAAAAGGAAGACCGTTTATCAAGTAGCACTTGTAGCGAGCGACCCATATAATTACGAAAGCATAAATTTCATTGAAATAAATTCATAAACGAAACAAGTACAAAATACGGATACAACACGGAGCAGATGGGGGAAGTGGAGAAATGATTAAGCAAAAATTTGTCAATATTATAATAAGGGTATTCGAAAAATAAACTTTGATTTGATTAGATTTAAACATATTTAGATAAGAGATATTTCTTGACCTTAAAAGAGAAAATTTTCCTGGAAGGGGCCGATATAATTTCAAGGGGGAGTTCATTAAAAAGTTTGGAACCACTATATCGAATATTGTGTTGGAGTAAAGTAAGTTTGGGTAGAGGAAGGTGAAGGTTGTCACAAATTCTGAGAGAGTGGGTCATTATAAATTGAATATTGAGGTGGGTTACTATTAGAGTATGGTTTACTAATGAGGGTAACAAGTTTTATAAAAAGTTTTATGGCATGCTGTGCTAGTTATTGAAGAGAACAGCATGCTGAAGTGCATTTCCAATAAACATCTCAAATGTTTGTTGTTTTTAGTTCACTATAGACCTCAAGATTTTAGTGGTCTCAATTACTTTGAACTTGAACCTCTATTTTCAGTTCCTAGATCAGCCACTTTAGATCTCCCAGAAATTATTTCTTCAACTTGGGATCCTTGCATATTCATTAACATCTATTCACACTATAAAATTTTATCTGACAAATAACTGTTTTTTTTTCACCACCTATGAAATCACCATCCCTGCCTCCCCCCCCCCCCATGACATCACCATCTATGCCCATGTATGGGCACATCACACATATTTGTCACATAATGTTTGGTATTGTGGACACATTTAGAAGTTATTTCAAACTTATTTAACCTCCACCAAGCAGGCTATTCAACGCTGTTTGTTTCTATGTTTTATTTGTTAGGATTATGCAAAAAGACAGGATCATCATAAAAGATAGTAAAGTTAAGAGAGCAGCTTAGCTCAGTTGGCTTAACTAGTGGTAGCCACTATGTGTGTGCTGAACCATGGGGATCTCTAGGTCCCTGGTTCAATTCTCAACGCTGCTCTCCTTGCGTTTCGGCTGGAGGGCTGGAATGCATTGAAAAATAGCACACTGTCTTTCAGATGAGATGTTTAAGCTATTGGTACTGTGCATTAAAGCCCATGTGCATGTTAAAGAATGCAGTACACTCTTCAGAAAAGAGTACGGTAGGGGATTGCCTCCCAGTGTACTGCCCAATTCACCACCAGAAGGACCCCACTGGAAACAAGTCTTTGGACTTAGTGGGTTATCCTTCGTGTGATTCACACCAAAAATACTCCTATGCTCCTACCCTATCCATTTCGAGTGGTACATATTGTTCAAGAGGTGATTAAATTTTGGGTTGAAAAGTTCAGAGTCAACTTCACAGGAACTTATATAAGGATTACGCAAACATTTATTCTTTGGATCCATACTTTGAATAAATTTAAAAACTGTAAAGTCAAAGATCAAGGTCACAGAATGTAATTTTTAATATTTGTTTTCTGTATTATTTGGTGTTCTTAATGGTTATAGTTGTAGACTTGTATAGTGCATAATAGTAGATTTCTATGCATTTTAAATAAATGACCAGTAATAATGTTGAATTTAAAAGAAACAAACAACAAAAAAAAGGAACAGCAAGACAACATCATAAAAATACAGCAAGACAACATTATAAAAAACAGCAAGACAACATCGTAAAAAATCAGTAAGACAACATCATAGAAATAACAAGAAAACATCATAAAAGACAATATCATGAGATGAGATGAAGAAGAGACAAAGAAAAAAGCAACAACCAAAACCATACATTGATTTGGCAATGCTGCAAAACCATCATTCTGACCTATAAAGATCTGGCAGTGTTAAAACGAGTGGTGATCATATCAATTATATACCGGTACTTAAATATTTTATTAAGGAACATTTATGGGGGATGTAGCTACCCTATAAGTTTATTCATAATTCTTTGAAGTGAAAGCAAACTCCAGTGTTGCAATGTCCTTTATATTCTTTACACGTGAGTAATGCTTATGAAGAAAGAGAATTGACCTTTTGCTCAGCAGTGAATTGAGGCAGTATTATCTAAGACTTTCCCTTTTGTTCCAGTTCAAAATGCTGTTCACTGTGAAAAATGGTCCTTAAATCTAAAAAAGTATTTACAATGGCTCAAGGCTGACAAAAGTCAAAAAGGGACTTGTGCTTTTCGGCTCAATACATTTCAGTCCTAGATGCCTGAGTCAGTTTGATCTCCTCCCATATTTAACATCCTGGACATAGTTACCTATCAGCATGGAAACTAATAACAAGGCAAAAAATTTTGGAGAACTTTATCTAAAAGTTCTGTTTGTCTTTCTGGCGATTGCAATTCAGTTCACCTTGATGTCAGCCATCGTTCCAATAGTGCCCAAGCTGCTGGGGATAGTAGAAGTTAATGGAATGTATACATTCCACAATGCTACGCTGGATCTGTCGAGAACTGCAGAAGTTATGTTTTTATTTGCAACTCCCAATATAGTATCTATTTTACTGAGTCCTGTACTTGCCAATATCACTGATGTGTTTGGCACAGAGAAACCGTTGTTTGTCGGGATGATTTCACTTATGGTTCAGACATTCTTGTTTGCTTTCTCAAGAAGCATTTACGGATACATTTTTGGTGACATTTTTCAAGGTATTTCTCTTTGCTGTTGGACCATATCAGGAATATCATCAGTTTTGGGTCCAGTTTCAGATATTCATGTTAGATTTAATTTGATTGCTGCTCTTCAAATTTTATATAATCTTAAATTGTTTGGGCCTCCATATGCTGGGCTGATTTACAACCGATTTGGGCAAACTTGGACTTTTCTACCAATAACAATACTGATAACAATTTGTATAATTATATACTTTGCAAGCTTACGTGTTGCTGTCACGAATGATCATCAAAATGATACTTATGAACCATTTGATGAACAGGAGAAGGAATGTGAACCCGCGCTGATTCATAGCTTCATGCTGATATTGAAAGATCCGTTAATGTTGTTGGGACTAGTGGTGTATACTTGCTCAAGTTTGCTGCGAAATGCACTTTTGCCAATAATTGCTCTTTGGTTAGATGATGAATTTCATTCTCATTGGACCTCTCTTATCTATCTACCAACTTATATTTTACAAACAGCGGGAATATTACTAGCGTACAATGTACAACAAAACTTATTTGTTTGGAGTTCAGTATGTTTTGTGGTGATTGGGGTTGCGCTATTGACATTGCCATTTTCTTATAACCTCTTTGAGGTGGCACTATGGTATGCAGTATTAAACTTCTTTCTAACAATTATCCGATATTGGATGTTCAGGCTCTTATCTGAAAAAGGAAGGGAGTATTATCGACATTTGTTCGGTCGTGTACAGGCCCTCATATCCATTTCAAATAACATTAGTACACTAGGATGACAGAGAACACATATGAGGCTTGCCATTTCAAAACAAGCAAATGAGTAATTACCTTAAGAATGTGGCAGTTTTGTACACTTTACTACTAGAAGCTTTAATACTTTTACTCATAAGTTTGGCAAAGTCAATTCCAGTAAATGACCCATCATTTTAAAGCTTATAAAGTGGAGAATAAGAATATAAAAAGTCAATTATTTGGTCACTGATGCTAGTTTTGGGACGGTAAGCATCATATACCATGCGTGAAATTTAGTTAAAAAAAACTCTACATAAAGGTTTCATTAATTATCTTTGCTTTCATATTCAGATATTCCTTCAGAACTCTTGAGAACAAACATACTTGGACTACTGAAATATTTGGAGCGATTCCTACGAAGCAAAGACACTAACTTCGTCCACATTGCACTATGGACATGTGTTCAGTTACTGAAAGGTAAATGATTTGTCAATTTTACAGTGGTGCTTAGTCCAAAGCAGATGTTTCAAGAAACCTTAAATTTGTGTGAATCTGCAATCGCAATACCTTGCCACGGTGGGCATGTCCACTTCCTTAATAACAAGATGCTGTACCCAGGGCTAAATGGTGAGCGTAGCATGTGGAGGGCACAGTTTTTAACAGACAAATTTGAATATTTTTCTCTGTTGTATGTTTTTTCCCTAAAGGCCGATTGAGCTAATCCTCATCCTTGCTTTGCCTTTTAAAATGTGTTATTTAAAACCTTAAATCTCATAATCCTTTGAGTAAAATTCCAAATAATCTGACACTTGCTACCACTCACTGGTTTTTCTAAGGATTTCCTCCATTAATTGTTACACATTGTGATAGTTTTTAGTACATACAGTATGCCTGAATCATGTCTATTCATAATGATGGAAAGGCAAGATTGAACGCTACACATTGTGGGCAATGGACTGCCAGTTGTCCAAAATCACCCTTTTAAAATCCATAATATTATATCTAATATGTCATAAGTAACTATGACAAGTTTTAATTTTTGGAAAATTTTGAATTATGTAAAGTTAACCTACTGTACCCAATATAAATTCTCAATTTTTCAAAATTTGACCTCTTTTGTGATGACAAAATCCATATTGACTAAGGTGGTGGCATATTGCAAAAAGGGATTAAGACACCCAAGGTCTGTGTCTATTGATGCTCTCTTCTTTTTTGACACTTCCAAAAGCCATATAAACAATTTAAAGAATTACGGTATGAAATTATATAATATATTTTATCTTTACAGGACCATTATTGTATTAAACGGCATTACCAACTTGTCTGCCTATGTATGTTTAATAAATAAATAAATAAATATGTTTTTTATTTCATTTTCTAAGATGAATCATTTAGGACTTCCTTCCGTGATAGTAATTTGCCAGGCCAGGTGAGAAAACTCCATGTTATACCATCACTGCCAGGACATATCAAGGACCTGGCAGCTACGGTGCTAGAGGAGCAGGGTTAAAGAGGATGTGCTTTTTAAGCGGAACAGAAGAAACACAGCCTATTGGTGACGAAAAAAACCTCTCATTAAGTGACACAGTGTAAAATAATAGTGTCATTAGTCTTCTATTTGTATATATATATTAAGTGTTTTAAAACTGTTCTGTTAGGTTTTTGTATGTACTACTATAGGTGCCAGATGAAGACTGACTTGGAAGGAGATGAATCCCACACTAGCTATGTACAAAATACTTTTTGCTATAGATCAAATCTCTTGCTTGTTTATGCTGCTCAGTGTGTGTAGGTGTGTATGCTTCAAGTCTTAAATTTGTTTTTAATATTAAGTTACTTGTCTTTTGATTTTTAGTACTAAGTATTTAATGTAATGATAATAATGTCTCACATTTTGGGAGACAAATCATTTTCTTTTAATGGTCAACTGTAGTATTATTTATAGCAATATGTGATATGTTTATAAAATAACTGTAAATAATTATGAATACATGTAGTTTAGTAAACAATTTCATAGTTATTTATTGAAGGAGTTGTTATATGAAGCAAGCAATATACATGGAATTCATCCAGGGTTAAAGGTTATGAAACTTATCAGGTTTAAATTATTTAGTCACATGATTGAGGTTGGTTTTCTCAGATGCTGTTTAGACCATCTTCTTTCTGTTACGTAAAACTTGGTCGACATTGAGATGACACTATCATGTGATATGGTATTAACAAGTTGAATGACCAGTCCAGAAAGAAATTGCATATTAAAACCATCCAGGCTACAGTTTGTAGAAAAATTTTCCAGGGAGTGTAACATAGCAATAAAGTTGTGATGTTAATACCATAGTTTTTCTGTGTGTGTGGGTGGGGGTGTGTGTAAGTCTGTGATGAGTTGAGATAGTGTCATATCTGGTTTGTGTTAACCATATTCGTAATGTACATTTTTTAATTCACCATTTAATATAAAGTTTGTAATACTGAGATGATTTAGGATGAGGTATTGTGCTGTGGTGTGTTGTGTGTGCAATGTATTGATATTGGTCTTATATTTTATCTATACTGTATTACCTTCCACATTAAACTTTCTCTCAAAAACACCTTTTAAACATGAAAAAGCATATACACTGACAAAACAGGTAAACCTTTAAATACCTCGGATTGTTAGTGTTTACACCATTTATTCATAAACTTGCAGTATCTTAATATTGTGATAACATTTAATAGTGAATGTGATTGTGTTTTTAATATTTATTGTTACTGAAGCTTGCTACCTATTTCAAATGTTTGATTATAAATTGCAACTTTTCTAAGTTTTAGTTATAAAAATGTTTTTTTTTTTCAGGAAAGCAAATGATTTCCACCTTGAATTGGGGAATTTTTCATATCAAGATTCAGATATTTAATACTCATGTTTTAACTTTATAATTATTTTAACAGAGCAAAATATTAATTAATCACGAACTTAATATACTGTATACATATAAACAAGTTATCTTATACACATCTAGATGTGTATAAGTTTATATGTATATATATATATAATATAAATATGAAATTTAACTCAACATATTTTTTCAGCAATAACTACAACGTAAAAATGTAAACAGGTATATAATCTACAACTGATGTTTTATGATAAGGCTGTGTAAATAATACTTGTATGAGTAAGGTGTGGTAAAAAACATTTTAACATTGTATAATAATTTTGGAATCAAAAGTGGATTATCTGTCATAAGCTAGGATAACATTTATAAAAACCTTTTCTATCTTGAGAATAATTTATTATGTAGAATCTCTGAAAGGTCACATATAATTTAAAGGTAATTGTTGAATGTGTGAATATTAATAATTAATATTAAAATCATTAACCATCTTGTTAATTATTCTCACATGTGTCAGGTCATATGATGTATGTATTTATATATTTATTACATATTCGGCACAAAAATCACAAATCAGGAAATGGCCAGAGGTGTGCCAAAAGGACACCATGGGCTGGGAGCCCAACAAAATCCTCTAAGTACCTGCTTGCCAAATAAACATACAATAAATTACAAAACAGCACAAAGGCAAAGATGATATATAAACAGATTAAAATCTGTTCCATATCACTGCCATAACACTTTTTTGCTTCTATCATAAAAAAGATATTCTTATAATATTATTATTACTGTACTATGCTCGGCACTGAGGTTGATTATTTAATGTAGTCATAAAATCCAGGCTATTTTTTTTTTTTTAATGAAATGTAGGGTAGCTTTTGCAATTCACGTGGCCTTTATTTTCATGATGGACATTTTGCTGATACAGTACTTAGCACATACAGATTATACCGTAATTAAAGCATACTGTATGCATACAGCACTAAAACCAGTTCATTCATTCAGTTTTTATACCATTGTCACCTTGTAACCTGCACTGAAAAGTGTTAAATAATAAGTTTTTAAAATGCAATTGTGTAGCTATGCTTGCCGATTGGCTGTGATAATCAAAGTATTGACCGGTTTTGTATATTTATTTGTTAAGTGTTTAATTGTAATAAATAAATTGTGGATTACTCTACATTATTTGTTTTGAACTTTGTAGTGTGCTCCAGCTCCAGTTGATATCTTTGATTTAATTGGTTGAGAGTTTTACGGCAGCCAGTGGTGGCTCCAGAAATTTGCTGACAAGGGGTCCGACACGTCCAACAGAGGGGTCCAAACCAAGGGTGAACTACAGTAGAGCCTTGGCCATATTGAAGGGGAGTTTTTATGGCTTGGTATGGTCCAAATAGTGAATTTTACTCCACAATACCAGGGATTGACAATCAGAATGTTATTTGGATAGGCAAATTATTTTTTTAATTTTTGATCAGACGACCTTGTTGTGGCGTCCTGCAACAGGAGGTCCATGTCTGTCCCACCCCAGCCACCAATGGTGGCAGCTCCAGCTGGTGGAGGAAGAGGGTGCTGAGGTGTTAAGCACTTTATTAGATTTAAAAGGGAATTTTAAAAAAGAAAATTTATCTTGTGAATGTTTTTCCATGCACCAGGGTTATTACTGCTTTCCTCTGATTGCTATAGAAAATTACTTTATCATCCACTGTTGGGTAATTTCTGGTGCCACCACTGCTCACAGGCCTTATATTATAATATTTATAGCTCCAACGAGCTCTAAAAACACTTGGCTGATTGACAGATCCTTCTTGCTCTACTGCCTATATTATACTGCCCTCACAAGGTTTTTTAGATCTACCTCTATACTGCCCACATGAGCTCTAGAAACACTCGGCTGATCAATTAATAGTTGATTATTAGACCTTTTTTAGATCTACTGCCTAGAGTTCCTATAGGTACTCTACTACTGCCTCTATTATACGCCCTCATTGGAGCTTTCGAAAACCTGTTTTTATTACAGTACATTATTATTGTAAAACACACCATCTTCGACTCTGGCACACACATATTTCGTCTATTGTTCTTAATGTAGTGTAAACTAGGCAAGATGGAAATAAACATTTGTGTGTTGTCATTAAAATCGTTGACATGCTAATGTCATTTTCAAATATGCAAGTTAAATCGACCCATAACCAGGAATCCTTGAGGGAGTTACCATTAAGAGCTAGTGGTCCAGGGAAACTTTGGTGGGGGTAAAGAAGCCAGCATAATATATTATGCTTCAGTTTGTAGACTATCACTCAGAAGTTCGGCTGAACCATAGAAAGCCCCTAGGTTATGGGCCATTTAAAGTTAAATGAATGAATATTGTAACGGGTTTAGCCAGAAAAACGATATAGGCTGTCCGAAATGGAAGCCAGTGGGTGTGGCACTGAGCCGCACGCCCTTCTTTAGGAATCCCCACCGAATATTGGTACAAAAACAACGTATATTCAATCAATAAATATTGTTTTTATTAAACGTAAATATGATTTAGCTTTAGAATGTAACACTCGATAAAATTGAAGAATATAAAGAATTTGCTAAAGGTAGACCAGGTCCAATTAGGCTAGGCCGAGCTGATTAGGCCAAGCCGTAACGGTAAAAGTTGCCATCCTAAGTACTTGTAGGCTGTCCAAAGATGGCCGGACGGCTCGCTGGCTAAGCCTATGCATTGTAATGATATACATTGTGGCTATTAAACAAAAAGATATTACTGTAATGAATACGATTTTGTAGCTCTAAACAAATTGATCTCAATTGTTTTATTTCCAAATAAACATGGTTAACTTATTTGCCAGAATTATGGATCTGACAATACATTTATAACAAATATGTAATTAAATTGTAACTCATGATTCATTGATGCACTGCTTAATTCAAGTGAGCGGATTCAATAGCGTACCTGCCTCACAAAGTAGTTTACTATGATTTACATGGTTAAAATCAGTTAATACCTCTAAGGATTTGCCATTAAAATTGCAAAAATATTTGTTTACTATCAAGTAGAATTCTGAAATACTGTACAAGCACTGACCAAGATAACAAGTAACATACAAATCTGTAAATATTGTAATTAACAATTGATTCAAGCTGCCATACCAAATTAAATTAACTCTCCTAAACAAATACAGTATGTATTTTCCATTTCATCTGGACCATCTAGTAGGATACTTTTTGTAGTAGTAGCTATTATTTTAAAATGAATCCATATTGATTAATTGCACAAAAATACCAGGTGATCTATCACAAAATGGGCATGCACCTGTACTGATACTCTTAGCTTCATTAACAGAACTGCTCCAAAAATGTTAGCAATGCAATCTAGTCCTATCAAATTTACAATTGAACCATTAAGTTTTGTCTACACTATCAAATTTCATCAAAAAACCATCACATAAAATTTGATGGTACAGAGTTGAACACATTCAACTTTTTTGATACAATTTGATATGTGATATGATTTCATTGTACCCATATATGGGCACATTACATTTTTTGTCATAAAATTTGATAGTGTAGACATAGCTTTAAACACTAATATAATTAATATTAATATAATATTAATATAATTAATATAATTGCAATATAAAGCTCTGTCCAGATTTTCAACTTTTTTTTGACAAAAAAAAAAAAACCTGTTGCATGCCAATATATGGTGCTTGCTATTCCAAAACCAATATACTGTTGCTAAATGTTAAACTGATTATTTTTAATTAGCAAAGGAATGTGCCATTATCGTATACTTTAGGACAGAAAAACCATAATAACTTTGGCAACAGTCGATTGAAATAAATGACCCCATTATCTTAAAGCTTACGATGTGGAGAACAAGAATATGCTGGTTTTGGAATGGCAAGCCATCATGGCCATATTTAGGCATTTCATAATTTTTTTCAAATAAAATTTAAGTCTTTACAGTCATAAACCTGAAAACCATTTTGATCCACACTTGTAAATAACAGTCTCTCAACGTTTATCAAATCAGGTCTTTCAGATTCTTAATAGTCTTTTATAAAGCATGGTTATTATGGTCATTAATAGTCTTCTATAAAGCACGGTCATTATTATTTTTTTTTTTTATAAAAATTAATATACTGTACTACAAAAAAAGCTTAAACAGCAAATGAAATTAAATTGAGGACAATATTTCATAGAAGACACTGTATATTGCCTTTGTGGTAATTAGCCAACCATAGAGGGCGCCAGACAATGTAAATTATATGTCAGGATATGCAGGCAGTAGAATTTGATTCAAGCAGACAATAAATATACCAGAAAATCCAAAATAAGTAAATACAGTATTAAGTTTTTTCTTTAATAATGGAGACAAAAACATAACTGCTTGTAAATAAAGTCATGAATAACTCTTTTGATAAATTCAAACATCACTATAATCCAGGTAAACACTCACATATGCAAGGATATTTTTATATACAGTAAACAACTGAACTATTTTTGCCTGAAAATGGTTTAAAGCAGTCTAACCTGCCAGTGTTTAGGACTAATTAATTTAAACTGTACTTTTCAGAAGCAACCCTGCTATCAACTGAAATTGCATGATTACAAGATACAGTATCAACTGAGTAAGACTAAAGAGATTACAGTATCAGTTTATAAAATATTCACTTTTTAGCGATATTACAGAGGAGCTATGATTATATTACTGTACACGGTTATTTCATTACACATGTTGCTCACAAGATAGAAATCTACGAGATGTTGTAAAGTGAGCATATCAGCATTTTCCTTGTTAAGCTGAAAATGTTGTCATTGACAAAATTTCCTCAACATGGAACAGATAATGTTATGGTCACAAAACATTTTTTGTCAGTCTATTAGCATGGTTAGACCATCTATAGTAGCTTAATATAAGCATGGCTAGTGGTCAGACCTATATTAGTCATGGCATGGCCAAACAATCTGATCAGATCAGACAAGAATTAGTATGACTGGACTATCAGTCTAAAATTTGCATGGTCTAACAATGTACTTAATATTTGACATGGCAGAACTACACACATTAATTATACAATTTAATCTTAATCATACCATTCATACCAATACCCATTTCTTGAATCCAAATTCTACATGGCTTGGCCAACTCTCCAGTTAATGGTCAACCTGAAATTTACTTAGCCTGTACATCTTTTTATATGTTCCTCAAATAATTAATCTGATTACAATACAATAAACTTTACTTTTATGATTACATGATATTCCATTACAAGCCAGTCAATGACATCATAGAAACAAATTCTGGTTAATAGAGTTCAAGATCTTTCATATAACATCTGGCCCTGGAATTAATCATATTATTTAATTCTTATAAAAATAAACACAAACATAACATCACAGTATATCAAAATATAGCTCACAATAGGAGGCGGATATTTAAAATGTACAGAGAGCATTAGCAATAACATTTCAACAATTAAGAGTGGAATAAATCCACAGAATACAGAGGAAGAACATTACTTCTTTCCTTTCATTTGTCCAACCAACTGAAGCAAATGCTTTTCATCCTTAATATGATGTGAATGCTTCAACACTAGATGTCTCTTGAACCAAGTGAAGTTATGAGACACATAGCCACAAAATTTACAATAGAAAGAATGAAATCCAAGATGTCGTTCAACATGACGTTTCACAGAGGATAGATCATTAAACCGTTTATAACACTTCAGACAACGCATATCTTGCAAATTAATCAATGAGAACACAGTTGAGGACTTAGTGTCTGGATTTTCAGCAGATTTGTGGGTTGTATCTGATTTACCCTTCTTCTCTGGTGTAGGGGAAAAATGCTTGCGAATATGTCGTTTTAGGGTGCTTAAGTACTGAAACTGCTTGCTGCATTTTAAACATTTCAAGTTCTTTCTGTCTGCCAGTAAATTGATCATGTTATTATCTACTGAGCTATCAATTCTCTCTGTAGATCTTTTAACAGCTTGGTCTTGCTTTTCCTTTACATTACGAAGCGGCGTAATACGGACGTATGATGGTGTTATATTAATTCGTGGAGATGAGCGCACTGGTGATGGGGTATCCTTTCCAGGACTGCTGTGAGAGCTAGAACTCGCATTTTCTTTTTCTTGCCTGAACTTTTTTACACCAGCTTTTTTTTCTTCATTAGTGTTTTCTTCCTTCTTGGCGTGTTCTTGGTCAGATTTCTGCTGATCAGATAGAGACTTAGAAAGATCGTCGCTTAATTTCTTTGGCTCGGGACATTTTTTTGGCTCAGATTGTTTTGAATCAGAAGACGGTGACTTCTTTTGTTCTGGAGACCTTTTCTGTTCTGGAGACTTTTTTTGTTCAGGTGATTTTTTCAACTCAGTTGAACATTTTTTGTGGGATTTTGGTATCTTCTGTTCAATTTGTGTTTTTTTCTTTTCAACCAATTTCTTCTCTTGAACATTTGATTCCGTCTCTGCACTTTCACTTCTGTCTGATCGCAAACTGAAATTGACCCACACACCAACTTTCATTGACCGAATTGCTTCAGATATTTGCTGAATGCTCCTAAATTGCCGGCCATGTTTGCACATCATGTGCCTCCTCATCTGGGTATAGTCTCCACTTTCATATGGACAACCTTTACACTTGTATCGGTTGTATCCAAAATGGTTGCAGCAGTGTTGCACTAGTCTACGCCAAGCTGACAATGTCTTTTTACATTTACGACACTGCAGGTTCTTTTCATCCATTATCGAAAACACGTTCTTGCGTGCAGCTTCTATTTCTTGACTTGAGGTTTTCTTCTCATTTTTAAATTTGCCATCTGGCCTTTGGGTCATTCCAGTTACTCGTTTACCTTTACGAGCATGGATTTCTTTATGCCTAACTAGGTTACGTTTGGAAGAGAATACCTTGCTACATATATCACATGTTGGTTCAGTATCACTCACAGAGACTTCTGTGCTGTTACTGCTGTTGTTCTGGTGGGCTTTCTGTACAACTGCTCTTACGACTTCTTCAACCTCTTTCACATCTTTGTTGTGAACATGCATGATGTGACGTTTAATGCGGTATAATGCTGGAGTCTCGTAATGACATGTCGGACATTTATACTGCCGTCTTTTATGAATTCTCATGTGCCATGCTAGAGCTGTCCAATTTTTACAAATTTTCTTACAGAATTTACACTTATTTGACACACTTCTGACGGCTTCATTCTTAGCACTGGGTGCTTTTGATACACTGGCTAATGGTACAACATCTGGGGATTTTTTCTCCTTTTTCTTTATTGGAGAATTCTCTTTCTCCTTTTCCTTTTGTTTCTTATTACTGACCTTTTCTGAGATATCATGTGGAGCACTTTCAACATAAAAGTCAATGTTAGAACTTTGCAGTTTGTCATGCAAAGAGTCACGCTTTTCAATGTTCTTCAGTGTTGCTCGCCGTACCTGGCGCATTGTGATTTCGCCGATTAATCTGGTTGTGTCAAGCTCGTCATGAAGAAGTTGTACATGTTGAAACACACTGCTCCTATCAAGTTCATCATAATACATGATGTTGCGAGGTACAACAACCTGCTGTTCTATGGCTTCAGATGTAGAAGGGATATCTCGAAGCAAAAGGTGCGGTTCACCAGGGTCACCCAGCAAGTTCACCTGAACTCCTTTATTTTCATTTTTGCTCTTTTTACTTTTACCTGTACGTGCATTGTAACTTAGATTGTTCTGATCTGAAATCCCCTCACTAGCATCTAAAAACCCAGTTCTGTTATGACTCTCCCACAATGCCTGTGACTGAGCCATACACATCTGTTCTTTTAACGTGCAGCTTGAACGTACATGGTCTGTGCAATACATACGTTTATGGTCCAAGAAATTGTTAATATTGCGAAAAAGATTACGACAAGAACGGCATTCAAGTATAACATCTGATTCAAAAAGAACCATCTTTCGTAAGAACGGTGTGCCTGACAAGAATGCATCAAATAAATTTTGAGTGCCAACTTTGTTAGATTTTGTATCAGACTTCTTCAGAATGCTAGGATCACATGGAGCTTGCTTTTTCGATGATAAATCATCGTTGTTGTTATTAACTGGTACTAATGCACTATTTGAAATGTTGAATTGTCTGCCTTCATTCTCAAATTCTTCCTCGTCTGATGAAGAAATCAACTGAATACTACTTGAATCCAAAACATCTTCCACCGACATCAGCTGCTTTGATGAAATTCTTATGGTTGTATTTTTATCTGCCATACCAGACCTAAAATAGAGGAAAACAAATTGTCAATCAAATCTTTCTTTATTTAATATTGAAATAGTCTTTCAATACATTTGTAATGATCTTTCAAGAGAAGCAATTTTGAATTTTAAAAAAAATTATATTAAATTGATAACAGACAATTTCTTCTTTCATAGCAGGTAGCATATTAGATTGCATGACCTTCAACTTACAGTATGTACTGTAATGTATACGGTACTTAGTTTGAAAGGCACACATTTTTACACTACCAACCAAAACCACAATGTAATAATTTTTTAAGTCATGTATTTCAAGCTTTTCCAAAACCTTCAAAAAAGCCTTAAATGGTGACAGTACAATCATATCACAATGTTAAATAACATCATTTAAGAGCAAGATGTTTTAATTTGGGGTCTAGGCTGGTTTCCCCCTGGACATTTGTCCCCCGGACAGTTTCCCCTGGTATTTTTCCCCCTGGACATTCTCCTACTACTACTACGACTACATACCCAGTATGTGCCCCTCAGATAACATTATGAAAATATATATATATTTTTTTATTGCAATTTCATCAAAATACCTAGGCCTCATATGCTACTATATTCTCTGAGAGCCCCCTAACTGTACAGAGGCATTGCATTTTATGATCCAAATTCTGGTTTATTTAGTGTGGTGGGTTGCTATACCCGAGGAACTACGGCACAGCATCTCCAGTAACAATGTATCCATTTAACGTTGTAACACTATAGTACTGTTGTAGGCCAGACAGTTTTATTTTTGTAGTTTAACTTAAAAATTAATACAGATTGGGTTTTTTTTTATCCTAAAGTAATAAAGTCTGTAAAAACATCTTAGCATTATGTTTGCATTAAGAGAATTACTGCAGATGAAACTAATCAAGAAGATGAAGATGGAACCGTATTCATGTGACACCCCTATTTTAAGGGGACACTTTTTTTTAGTCCCGAAGATGACCCCTTAATAGGGGTTATACTGTATCTTACGAGAATTGACAATTATACATTTTCAAGGATTTCAAGATATTTATTTTGTTATTATATTAATCAAGATAATGTTACAAAAATATTTCTAGGTCAATTCTTATGATGACAAACAGCTGGGCTACTGTACAGTATGTCAACGACAATAAGCAAGTGCTTCAACCTTCAATTCAATATACATTTATTCAATCAATGGAAAAACATAACAAAAATCATTAAATTTAAATAACATAATTCCATTGATAAGGATCAAGTTATAGAAGCAGTTAGGCTTGTCTCAATTGACCCTTGGCACAGTACAAGATTATCTAGAGTAGGCCTATTAATTAATTTTTATATCAATCACCTGTACATTGCTTGATCTTCTATCTATTAACACTAAGCTACAGTGTAACCCTCTATGTGGGGACCGAACCCCGAGACCACCCCAAATTTTCAGGTCCTAAAGGTGGTCTTGAATTGGAGAGCGAAATGTACATTCATAATGAAATGAAACTTTGAATAATTGTATTGGGCTATTAAGTGCTATGTGCCCTGCTTGTTGTGGGTGCATTTATATGCATTTTTCATCTTTCTTATGTTGTTTATCATAATAATGTATAAAAGCAATCAAAACGTTGGGTTTCTATTTGACCATGGTATTTAAGTCAATGGCAACTTGCTTGTTGTGTATTACTGGGAAAGGCATTTTCCAAATTGCTTCAATTCACCTAAAAATTGAATGGGATACATGCATGACTGGAACATTTGGAGATGGTTGCACATTGTGCATGGCTGCCTGGATTCAGTGACCCAGAGGTTAAATGCTGTTGACACTGAATTGGAAATCAGAACAAAATGGCAATTTTATCAGGTCAGTAGTAGATTGAATTCAAGGGGAGGCCCTTAAATTATAAAAATAAAACTAGAAATTGCAAATTGCAAGTGAAGTGCTGCGAAGTACAA